AGATGAAGTTATGGCCAACGATATGAGCAGATGAAGTCTTGGCAGCGTGTTGCAGACTGACCTGAAGTCCAGAAAGGCATCTCTTGCTAGTTCTTGTCATTGGTCGCTGGCAATGGTGTTGTTTACAGTCAACGCAATCCATAAGCAGAATGCTTAATCCATATCCCATTTTCCAGGGATCATTAAGTACCTTTGTTAGATGTGCGTAAAGGCCTTGTGCCAATATCTGCAAACTTTTCTTTTTCCTCAAACTGGATGAAATAACTAGTTGAGGCTGTTTAACCATTTTCCCATGCCTCCTTATGAAATGGAACCAGAGATTCAATAATCGTTCAGTTAGAAATCGTTGATCTTGGGAGCGGTGACTTGTCATTTCACAAATTTGTGGAAAGAAAATTTGATCAGGCAGAGTAAATCTTGTCAGAGTCACTAATCAGGCAGAGTCACTAAATGAAGAAATTGTCGTCCGCGATTTGTGCAGTGTTCTACACTTTTAATCCATTTAAATAACTGTCCTACTAATGAAATATCTGGTTGGATGTTGTTCTATGATATTTTAAAACTGTTGTATTCCTTACTGGAAAGCAAGAAAGCTTATTTTTTCTGTGCCGCAACTTTGCTTTCGTCGACTGCATACGCTGTGACGCGCTGCGTTGGCGACGTTGACTTATTTGTTATGGGTAGCACAGTAGACTAGACGACGTATTTCCGGTCTCTGTTGGCTGCTTCATTTGCTGTTCCTTTGGAAATTTTGCGTATTGAGCGAAAGCGTCAGTTTTGAGGGGTACGACAGCAAAACGGCGTTCTTTCCACGGCGATGATTGACGCGTCCACTGAGATCACAGTTTCGATGTGTGATAATTGTTGCGCTGTCACAAGTCGAACTGACAACGGCTTTCACGTTTCTTGTCGTGCAAAGTAGTAAGCATTAAATGTGTTCATTTGAAAGTTTTTCCACTTTCGATTGTTGCTTTGATTGTTATCGATTGTGCTGGAGATGGTTTTGTTTTCGCATAGCGCTGACTCAGTGTCCACCATGCTTGCCGTTTGTTCTTCGTGTTTCTAAATAAACAGCAGAACGCAAATCTAAGGCTTTATGCCGGATGATGTCCAGGCATTGTTTCAAAGTCGCGCATTGTCAACTGTTCCATGATGTCGCTTCGGGGGATGAAATTTAAGGGGATAGTGTGCTCCTGTTACTCAAGCGTACTGCGAGAGAATCTCTGTGAGTAGATAATCTAATACCGACATTTAAAATTTGTTGCAGCATAAAGTTTTTAAACTTATGAACATTCCACGTGTACGCAGATAATAAAATCACGAAATACACCGATATCCTGGGACAGCTGTCAAGAAC